AGCACCCCTTTCTGCAGAAGGGGTGCCTTGCTGAGAAAACTTATTATCTGAATGTTATTTTAAATTGCCTTGCTGAGAAAACTTATTGTCTGAATGTTATTTTTTCCTTGCAGTCCCTAAGAACAAGCATTCTGCCTCTAACAGGGCAGAAGGTGTACGGGAACTCTCATTTCTACTCCATTGGCTGTGAACCTAAAAGTGCTTTAAGAAATAAAGCCTATGGGTTAAAATAAAGAACAGGTAAAATTAATTTTAATCACAGATTTTAATTAACTCAATATAGCCAAAAGATTATGTCAACATGTAATCAATATCCACATTATAAAGAAATATTTTATATTCTTTTTAATGCTAAGTCTTTGAACTCAGTGTATATTTTGCAGTCCAAGGGTATCTTGATTTGAATGAATTCACATTTCTAGTGCTGGGTGGTCCTGCGGGTCCCTGGTGCTGCCCAACAGCACAGGTCCAGCCCTCTCTGTGGTCCTCTCTGTGTGGGGAACCACCCACCGCACCCACCTCTGGCCACCCTGCTATCTCTCGAAGCCCATGCAGAGACACTGCTTCTGAACCAGCTCCCACACATACTTTGGACCTGGCTCAAATGCACACTTGCGTTTGGCAGAGCAACGCCTCCCACAGATGTCCATGTCCGAATCCCCAGGAGCTGTGACTATGCTAACTTACATGGCAGAGGAGACCTTGCAAATGGATTATATTAAGGATCTTGGTATTATCCTGGATTATCCTTATGGGCCTTTGTAATCACAAGGAGGGAGCCAGAGGGACATGGGACCGTGGCAGTTGGCGCTGTGATGGGAAGCAGAGCGGAGTGACAGACTCCGCAGTGGGGGAAGGGGCCTTGGGCCTTGGACTGCAGGAGATCAGTAGCAGGCAGGAAACACAGGGTTTGGGTCATCCCCTGGAGCTTCCAGGCAGTGCCTACACCTTCATAAGACCCCCTGCAGACGCCTGCCCTCCAGAACTGTAGATAATGAATGTGGCTGGTTTTAAGCTGCTGAGTCTGTGGACCTTTGTTAGAGCAGCCACAGGAACCTCACAGCCCCTTCCTTACCCCCCGCTGTGAACACCCCGCCTCTGAGCCTGGGACTTTCCTGCCAGGAGCTCCTTGTGCATGGACGGGAGAGGAAGGGACCCAGACTAAGGCGGGCAGGAAGATGCAGGGATGGAATTTAAAAGCTTTAGAAGGAAAAGTCATCCAATGTGGTGATGGATTAGACCTGGTAGTGGGGGCAGCCTGGGGGGCCAAGGATGGTGCCCAGACACCCTCGGTTTCATGTTCCCCCTGGTGTCCCCCAGGGCTCTGGACATGCCTGTCACCATCGCTGCTCTTGGCTGCAGTGTCTGATTGCTTGTGCTCTCTCTCTCTCTCTCTCTGTCTCTGTCTCTGTCTCTCTCTCTCTCTCTGTCTCTCGTCTCTCTCTCCCCCTAATAGCAGCCAGCCTGTCACCCCCATGAGAGCAGGGGACAGTGTCCGTGCTGCCCATGGATTCTACCCTCTGTGTAGTGACGGGACACAGAGCAGGTACTCCATATGCACACATCATATGAAGGAATATGAGTGAGGGGATGAATTTGGATTCCTAGGCTCATAGTGTGGGCCTTAAAGCATAGAAAGTTAAACAGATGTAGAGGGAATGAATGGATGAATGGACGAACCAATGTCCCTAGTATCCAGCAGGATCTGGACTTGGGAGTCACAGACATCTGGGGAACTGGATTTGCATTGTCTGCAGGGCAAGGGGCTTCCTAGGCTCCTGCAGCTGCTATTTATTTATTTATTTATTTTAGATGAAATCTCGCTCTGTCACCTAGGCTGGAGTGGTGCAATCTTGGCTCACTGCAACCTCCACCTCCCGGGTTCAAGTGATTCTGATGCCTCAGCCTCCTGAGCAGCTGGGATTACAGACACCTGCCACTATGCCCAACTCATTTTTGTATTTTTAGTAGAGAAAATACATGGTTTCTCCATGTTGGTAAGGCTAGTCTTGAACTCCTGACCTCAGGTGATCTGCCCGCCTCAGCCTCCCGAAGTGCTAAGGTAACAGGCATGAGCCACTGTGCCCAGCCAGGACTGTGCTTTAAATGGACCCGCCTTCCCTGTCCTCAGAGCCCTTGTACCTGGAACGCAGCTGCCATCACAAAGTACCACCGTGGTGATCTGTCTCTCGGGGTCAGAAGTCTGATTGTATCTGCAGAGATTCTGTTTCCAGATTGGGGGGCTCTGAGGGAGCCTGTGCTCCCTGCCTCTCTCCCAGCGTCTGGTGGCTGCCGTGATCCTTCGTGCCTTTGGCCTGCAGCCGAGTCACCCCACTCTCTGCCTTCGTCTTTGTGCGGCCTTCTGTGTGTGTGTGTGTGTGTGTGTGTGTGTGTGTGTGTGTGTGTGTGTCCCAATTTCCAAATTCTTATGACACCAGTCCACCAGTCATACAGGACTCGGGGCCCACCTCATCCGGCACAGGTCATCATAACTGATTGTATCTGCAGAGATTCTGGTTCCAGATTAGGTGGTACTCACAGGTTCCGGGTGCACAGGAATTTGGAGAGCACTTCTCAACCCCATTCAAATGCCTTTCCCAGCCAGGCACAACCTCTCTCCTTCCTTCTGGGCTTTGGCAAACATCACCTTGTCAGCCCTCTGACAGCCCTTCTACCACTCCACAACCCAGTGGCCCCCCGCCCCTCACTCCCCACCCGCACCCCCACACTGCTGATCGTCCTTCCCACCCTCATCACATTTGATGCTGCCGTATTTTTGCTGCTTTCTTTACCGTCCATCTGCCTCACCCCATCTCCCCTCCTAGAGCAGGGCCCTTGCTCAAGGGCTCCCTGTGGCAGGCCACGCCTGGCAGGAGCTCTGGGGCTTGCAGGTGTGAGCAGGCTCCTCTGTCCCAGGTGGGGGAGTAAGACTGATGCCGGCTGGAGGCTGGGCTAAGGCGAGCAGTGCGGGAGTGAAGGGAAGGGAGGATTGAGAGGTTTTGGGAGGCAGAATCGATGGGCAGGTCTTGGAGATGGCTCAGTGGGGTGGGGAAGGAAGGGGAGGCTTCCCTGTGTCAAGCTCGTAAACACAGTCATTTGTTTCTGGAAGGGCCCTGGAATTTTCTGGGTCTCTGGATCAGATCGATCCTCTGCTAATGGGCCTCTCTCTGCGTCCTTCCCAAAGAAAATCAATTCTCTGAGGTTTGAGAGTAAGTGTGCCCTAATTACACCTCCCCTGGGCTTCTTTGTTCGCTCCAGCCCAGTCCTCCCTGGGGAGGCCAGGGGCAGACAGAGGCCAGACGGGTCCTCAGGCCCCCGCCATCCTGGGGAAGAGCTGGCCCCTGGGAATCGGAGGGCTGGGGGTTGGGGGTCTGCTCTTTGTCCTGGCCTAGGAGGAACCTTGTGACCCCGAGGCCTGTGAGGGACACACATTCTGGGGACCTGTGGCCACATGGCCACCATGCCTAGAGATGATAAACAAACAGTCCATTTTCCTGAAGCCTCAGTTTCACTCGAAGATTTGGGGAGGAATTACCTCCATGTAGAAAACAGCAAGGATGTGTTCTAGGAGGGCATTAAACAGCTCCCAGCAGGGTGGGGTGTTTAGACTGAAGCAGTTCCAGGCCTGTCCCCTCGGCCCCCACGGGACACACTGGGTGAGTCTGAGAAGCATTGACCTCGAAGTCAGGCCACACAGCAAGTCAGCACAGGCTGGGCTTGGAGCCAGGTGCTGGGTCTGATGCAGGAGTACCAAAGCTCCTGGTTCCAGCCCAACCCCTCCTCGCCCAAGCTGGGGAGTTGCCCCAGTCCCTGAGCTCAGCTTCCCCCAGTGTGTCTCAGCAGTGATCAGACATGGGGAAGCCCCACAAGGCACAGTGCCCATGGCAGGAGCCCCACAGCCACGTGTTCTGTCTCTATTCTCCCCGCCTTGGGTCCGTGTCTGGATTCTGCATTGATAGAGCAGGGGTGAGATGGGAAATGCTTCCCCAAGCCCCTCTCTGATCCTCCCTCTCCAGCACACTCAGGTGTGTTCTGCAATCCTGGTGCATTTTAACAGGTGATGATGAGGTGTTGGTTTTAGGGTGTCTCTCTGGGACCTTAATCTTCAATGGAGAATTAATTTCATGTCCTGATGCATGGACAGCTTCCAAACAGCAGATATGAAGTCACTTTTGTGGCTTCTCTCCCTCTTCTTGCTGGGGAGCCAAGGCGCTTTCAAGCTCAGTGTACCCCCAGATTCTCAGGTGGCCAGCAGGGCCTTGACCCACGAGGTACTGAGCGAACAGCCCCGTCTCCCAGCACGAACCCGCCAGACGCTGCTCCCAGGCGGGCACAGTGTTTGGGTCTGATTTCCAGTAGCCACCCAAGCTTGGGCACCTGCCTGTGGTCCCCTATCATCCTGTGCTGCAGGTGGTGGCCAGGGTGGAGGACGGGGCTTCCTGGAGGAGCTCAGAGTCCGGAGAGGGAAAGAGGCAAGCAGTCAGGCCACAGGGACATCTCAGCACAGCTGGCGAGTGTCCCGCCTGCACACAGTCCACGGGCCTGAAATCAGATGGGCCAGCGTCAAATCCTGAGTGGGCTACTTATTAGCTGAGTGATTTCAGGCAGGGAACTATCCCCTCGGAGGCACCTCTGGTCATCTGTGATGCATACGGTGACCTAGAGGTGCCTGACACATAGGTGGCATCAGGGAGGAGTGGCTGGCTGGGATTTGGAGTCAGAAGGACCTGACTTTGGATCCTAGCTCTGGAGCTGAGCTCCACACCTGTGCTCCACACCTGTGCTCCATACCTGTGTGCATCCTCAAGCATCCCTGAGAAAGCCCAGTCTCCTCTCCTGCCTTGTGGTGCAATGCCCCCAGGCAGAGTGCTCAGGACTGCACTCAGGGTGTCTGGGGCACTCTGCCTGCAAGGCACAGGGCAAGGGCTGGACACCATGTGGGCCGATGAAGGCTGTGCCCGGAAGGAACATGGCTGACGGCTGTCCCCTTGTTCCTCCAGGTCGTCGGATTTCGGGACGTCCTACACCAAGCTCACCCTCCAGCCTGGCGTCACCACCATCATCGACAACTTCTACATCTGCCCGACCAATAAACGGAAGGTAGGTGCTGGTGGGGCAGCCGCTCTGGCTCTTGCATTGCGCCACTCACTCTGCAAAGCAAGGAAGCTGCTGCCCTGCCTGCTGCTCCTGCTTTGGACCGGCCGGAGTGAGACATTTCATCCCAGCTCTTGCTGCCACCCCTCCCACTGCCACCTGACACCGTTCTGTGCTTTAAACCAGAGGCCAGGCTTTGGAGGAAGGCGCCACCTGCATACCTGGGGCACATTTGTCTTCCCCACGCGGAGGGGGGGCGCATCCATCAGGGCACAGCGGGCAGGAGTTGTGGGCCTGGAAGCAGAGAGAGAAGCTGTCTTGGGTTGAGAGCCCTCGGAAGGCAGCGCTGAGCAGGCCTGTTCTTTGGAAGTTAGTTGATCTGGTTTTGATTGGGCTGTGATTTTCATCTGAGCTCTCTTTGCTGTTTTCTGGGTCTGGGGGAACTTCCTGACTTTGCTCTCTGGCTGGCTGTAGGAGAGAGGGGTGTTTCCAAGGCTACCCACTGTGGGTTCCTGGAGGAGACCCCTTCTGCAAATGTGTGTCTGTGTTCTAGCCCACCCCCCTGAGCCAGAGCGAGGTCAGCAGAGGCACCAGGGCAAAGCTGTCCTGCCAACCTGACTCCATTCAGCAAACAGTTCACGATCACACAAAGGGACCTGGACAGACCAGTGTTCACATCCCAGCTCACCTCTCTGTGCCTCAGTTTCTTCAAATGGGATGTCACCCACATCTTTCAGAGAATCGTGAGCTCTAGAATCAGGCACGCAGAGCCCCTGCATGGTGCTCACACAGGCCTCTGTGCTCGGCTCTAATAGTGACTTTGAAGGAGAGATTTGAGCAGCTTGGAGTCTATGAGAGCATCTGTGAATCAATAGAATGTCCCAGAAAGGGAGTCATGTGGGACGCTGATATTCCAGGGGTGCTGGAGTGTCCTGGGGGATGGTGATATTCCAGGAGTGCCGAAGTGTCATGGGGGATGCCGATACTCCAGGGGTGCCAGAGTGTCGTGGGGGACAGTGATACTCCAGGGGTGCCGGAGTGTCATGGGGGACAGTGATACTCCAGGGGTGCCGGAGTGTCATGGGGGACGGCGGTACTCCAGGGGTGCCGGAGTGTCGTGGGGGACGGCGGTACTCCAGGGGTGCCGGAGTGTCGTGGGGGACGGCGGTACTCCAGGGGTGCCGGAGTGTCGTGGGGGACGGCGGTACTCCAGGGGTGCCGGAGTGTCGTGGGGGACGGCGGTACTCCAGGGGTGCCGGAGTGTCATGGGAGGCGCTGATACTCCAGGGGTACCGGAGTGTTGTGGGGGATGGCGGTACTCCAGGGGTGCCGGAGTGTCTCACTGGTTGCACCAGTGGCAGGTTCACAGGCGCTCAGAGGCACTGGGTGCACTGGAGCTTGGACGCCTCTGCTGAGCCCACAGACCTAGCAGCAGCGGTCCACGAAACAGGGGAGCTGAGTGCGTGCAGTCTCCACGGGGCTGTCTTGGTGGTCTCTTCCACATTTCTTTGTGGGATATCATTTCTCTTCCTAAAGCACGTTGCTTTGCTGTTTTTTTTGTTTTTGTTTTTGTTCTCTCTTCTTGATTTCTGCTGTAGGAGCTTCCAGATGGACAGACTTGGAATGCAGAGGGGGGAGGTCCACGGCAGGGAGGTGAGGGAGACCTGGTCTTGGGGACAATAGATGCGCTTGCTGGAAGGCCACATCTCAGCATGTAGGAAAGAAGGGTGGGTTGACCTGAGCCAGTCCCTGCTTCTTCCCAGCCCCAGCCCTGGGGACTCACACACCCGATCTCTTTCCATTCCACAATGGCTCAAAGATAGGGCATTATAATCCCACTTTCCAGGGCAGAAAATTGGATGAGAGAGGTGAGATTTGCTCATTCTCATAGCTGGTGGGGCGGGGCCTGGGTTTGAACACAGCTTCACCGAGCCCAGAGCTGAGGGTTAAAGGCATTGTCCAGGCTCACGGCGGTGAGACCTGTGCCTGCCAGAAGACCCAAGCCCTGTGGGAGCAGGAGCAGACACTGCCTATCGGTCAGCTGTCACCCCTTCTTCCTGGGGTTGCTGTGATTCAAATTCTAGACAAAGGTGAGGGGCTGAGGGCTGGCGCTGCCCGAGTTGAGGGCCCATACGACCCGAGATTCCAGCCAGCACTGGAGGAGGCCACACCCTCCACCTCCTGGCGTGGCCTCAAGTTCTTGTCCATCCAGCCAACCCGGTCCTGGTGGCCTTCCCGCCGCTGCCCTTCTCCTCTCCATGCAGGGGACACTCTGCTCCTGTCCGTCTGGTCACCATCTAGGAGAGTCCACAGGTGCCTGGGATGTGACAGTCTCTCCAGCATCAGCCCCACAGGCCGCATCTGTGTTTGGAAATGTGAAGGGCAGGCCAACAGTGGTGGGAACGGAACCAAGAGAGACTGAGGCCCTGAAGTCAGGGAAGGTGTCACGTGGAGGCTGGCCCAGACAGTGTGAGGTCAGACAGAGCTGCTTCTGCACGGAGCAAGCTGGGACATGGCCATGGCCTCTGCTGAGCCTCAGTCTCCTGGCCTGGAAAGCCGGTGGTTGGGAGGGCCCATGAGATGATACACAGAATGCATAGGGGCCAGCAGAGGGGCTCCTAGGCTGCACTGAGCCTTCTGTGCAGGCCAAAGGCTGGGACTCCGATGTGGGGTGCTCAGCAGAACTTCCTTTGCAGGCAGCTTTGGGGAGGTGTCTGCAGCCTCGAAAGCAGATAAGCTCTGAGACAGGTCATTGGAATCCCTGGGTGCAGGCTGGATTTCAGAGCCAGGACAGTTTGGACGTTTAGCCTAGAAATATCACTGTGAGTACAGGATTGCTTCTGACGATAGCCTGGCGCCCAGCACAGAGGCTCCGCTGACGTTAAAGGAACAGGATGAATGAATGAGTGAATGAGTGAGTGTCACAAACAGCAGTGCATGCTGCTAAGCAGACCCAGTAGCCGCGTCGGGTTGCAGGGTGGTGTAGAGGACGGTGCCTGCACCGGGGAGTCCCTGTCCTCAGTCCAGCTCTGCCAGGTCCCCGCCATCAGGGAGCCGTAGGCGTCTCACCTGTAAAGGAGGCAGTAATTGAGGGTGGGTTTGACAGGTGAGCGCCTGGCAGAGCCTCATTCAAAATTGCCATTTATTGTCAACTGAAGAGAAGCCCCAAAGATGTCCTGGTCCCGACCCTGGAACCTGCGAATGTCAGCGTCTATAGCAATGGTCCCACCCCCTGGAACCTGCGAATGTCAGCTTCTATAGCAATGGTCCCGCCCCCTGGAACCTGTGAATGTCAGCGTCTATAGCAATGGTCCCGCCCCCTGGAACCTGCAAATGTCAGCATCTATAGCAATGGTCCCGCCCCCTGGAACCTGCAAATGTCAGCTTCTATGGCAATAGTGACTTTGCAAATGGGAATAAGGGGAGGATGTGGTGATGGGAAGCTTCTCCTGGGTTGTCTGGGTGGGCTCAGCTCAGTGTCATCAGCACAGAGTCCTTGTGGAGGGTGGCAGGAGGGCCAGGGCTGCAGGAAGAGCTGGGAGATGGAGCCAAGGCTGAGGCGGGGCCAGGATGGGGCCGCACACCAAGGAAGGTGGGCACCTCAGAAAGAAGTTGGAAAAGCCGAGGAAATGGACTTGCCACCAGAGTTTCTGGACTGACCAGTCCTGCCAACAGCTTGCCTTTAGCTTTGTGCCCACCATGGCCAGGGTGGAATGAATTTCTGTGGCTTCAAGACACAGAGTGTATCGTGATTTGCACCAGCAGCCATGGGAGACTAACACAGCCGCTGTTTTGAGGAGGGGCTGCAGGGATGGGGCTGGGAGGAGGGAGGCTGGGGGTCCTGCCCACCCCACGGCCACCCAGTCGGAACTGGCCTCCCGTGGGCCCTCCCGCTTCTGCTGACACACTGACCTGATTCCTGCCGGACCCCAGGTAGCAGGAACAAAGTCACAGGTACAGGCAGGGTTGGGCCTCTGGATGCCCTGGTTTGGGCCTGTGCTCACCCTCTCCCACCTCCTCATCACAGCACAGAACTGACCCTCTCTGCAAGGCCATGATGCCCCAGGCTGGAGGTGCCCGGAGGCCCACCGAGGGCCTCGTTGAACCTGAATTTGTTGCTTCCAAAGCTCCTAATGCTGCAGGCACTGCTGTCTTGGAGGCTGGAAGAGCAGTAGCAGTGCAGGGCTGAGAGTGCGTTGGATGCAGGGCACCGGGGAGCAGCAGGGATTGGGATGAGAGGCCGCCCTGAGGCTGAGCCCCTGGCTTCTCTGGCTGGGGCATAGGGCCCTGTGCGTGGGTCTGAATCTGGCCCTACACCCTTGAGCAAGTGTTAACCAGCCTTGTCCCAGCGTCCTCATTGGTGAAATGGGGTAGTAGCCGTGTCTACAGGGCAAGGCTGATGGAATTAATGAGGTGTTCCTTGTCAAGGGCTCGGTTCAGGGCCTGGCCCGAGGGAGGCCCCACAAATTACCCCACCCCGTTCTCCTTAGAGGGAAACACGGAGGCCCTCCTGGCGAGCCATCTGAGACTGTAGGTTAGGAACTGGCTGCATGGTGACAGAGCCTCACACGTGTGGCCCCAGTGAGCTGTGTCTGTTGGAGGAACCAGGCCTGGCTGTGGAGCAGAGGCGTCGTCAGGCGGCTGTGCCGGGCACGGAGGCATTGCCCTGGCCCTGCTGACCTGCACCTACCTGGTTCCCTGGGACCCAGCTCAGGCTGCTCATGGTTGGCATGGCCTGCCCGCCCCTCTGTGTTTAGGGAACGAATGAGTAATCAGTGATGGGAAGCAGGGCAGCAATTTGTTATCTAACCAAAGGGGCGGCATGGATTTCCCTGTGATGCTCCTGGCAGCTGTGCTTCCACCTCTGGAGGATGAAACATCAGTTCCTGTCTACAGAGGTGGGGACGGACCCCGTGCTGAGTGGTGCTGAGGACAGAGGCCAGGGAGGGCCAGTAGGCATGTGGACTGAGAGGCTGAGGGCAGCAGAGGGCACAGGCTCCGGGCGG